GAAGAATTCGGCGTATCTTTCTTTGCAGGAAACATGAAAATGAGGCAGTGCTCGGGAACGAGGCCTAGTGGCGGGTATCTCCATACTTCATAAGGATCGACCGAACAAGGGTGCGACGCGGTTGTCATGCGGCGTCGCAGTCAAGTATGTTAGAAATCGGGTAAAATGTCTTTGGCGCATTTTCTGCTTAGGACTACCAACTTTTGAGACTGTGATATAACCTAAAAAAGAAAGCAGGTCGAAGTTTGAACAAAAAAGTGCAGCAAAATTGGAGCAAAGCCGAATTCGTTAAATTGGTACTCTTTGTGGCGTCGCAACGCTACCCCTGCCCTCGATCGTCCGATCCTTAACGCACCTTATAAGCGTTATGAGGATCGGCCGATCAGATCAGCCGATCCGTATGTGTATGGAGGATCTGAGGGGATAGTGTACTCTTATGGAGCATACGCGATTGGCGCTGCACCCGTTAGAGCTTTCAGGGTGCTTCCACAGGAAAATAGGGTAAAAAGGCAAGCTCAGGATCGAACAGTGATAGCCTCTGTAGGACTGGTTCAAATTCAGATCAATGCACAACGTATTGGTCCATTATTTCAAACGGAATACTTGGCTAGTGAAGGACCAACTATGAGCAGTGTGTTTGATTTTTGGTGTATGGTGTGGCAGGTTTGCTAACTGATTTACTTTAAAAATATGTCCAAATAAATATTTCCTTTAGGAAAACGTTGAACGGATACTATCCGTAAATTTCCCACATGAAGAACGTCTCTATCCTTCAATTTATGATCCAACTAAAGAAACTATACAATATTGGCCTGTTGAGATAGGAAAGACTGTCGCATATATGCCTTTTAAAATCACATGTATGGATACTAGAATGATGGTGGGAAGCGTATGTTGTGGAAATCTTACAATCCAAGTACTTTTGTCTTAAAGGTAGCGCCTGGAATACGAGCTGTTGCTCCAAATGATATGGTATATCGAGTAACGCAGTTAAGAATATCCTATTCAAATCCTATTGGCGAACCTGAACCGGATAGAGAGATTGTACATATGTGCTATTATCGGTTGGTTGAATCAAATTTTGCCCCGCAGGAGATTTTACCAAGCTATTTGGGCGTATAGATGGCCCGATGGATGTCTTCCAATACCGTGGCCTTTGACTTCAGCCTCCTATGCAGCTACAGCCATGAGGATCATTGACATAGTCGAAAGGGTTGGTGGATGAATTGCACAAATTTTAACTTTAAAATTAACAAGAATTTTAGGAGCTCCCACCATCTTCTTCTCCTATGCTGGTCCACTGCCATGCGGGTTTAGGTCGCACTGGGGTTTTTATTGCACTAGACGTTGCTCTAAGGCAGCTCTACCAAAACAATACTGTTAATATCAAGGTAAATAACATCAAACTACTAATATCACTTTAGTAAATCATGATTTTAGGGCGTAGTTGAAAAACTCCGTGAGAAACGTGCTAGGGCCGTTATGAACCCCTGGCAATATGCCTATATTAATGTTGTGGTAGCTGAGAAAGTAAATTTTATT